CTCATTCGTCGGTAAACACTTTGCATGCCAATATGTCTTCCGTGTTCTGCAAACCATTCATTTGCAATGGACCTGGTAGTGGAGAAACGGTCCCTTAAGGCCAATAATCTTAGGCGGCGATCTTCACGGTCTGTTGTTCTACGGCGGCGTCCAGTGCCCCTTGCTCTTTGCGTACGGCCTTCTCGAAGCCATGCCTGACAACACCTAACCACAGTGTCTACACTTCTTTGCACTCTGCAATTGCCCGAAAAGAAAGTCCAGCTTCCCGAAGTCCCATTATACGGCCCCTGTCAAACTCACTAAGTTGACGAAATCGTACAGGTCTCCGTACTCTAGGCATCGTAACCGATCGTAAAGGATGTCAAGAACCAAAATCCGCCAACGTTGATTCATTACTGCGGCTGAAATATTCATTTTTAGAGCGTTAGTGAATTAAAAAAAAAGCAGTATTAAAACCGGAATGTCCAACTGAGAAGGCTGGACATTTTTTCACCTGTTATTTACAGTAACACCAACTTTTATTAAAATAAAACCATTTAAACTGGGTGTTCGGATGTATATGTCACTTAGTATATAAATGACGACTAATTGATCAATTTATAACCAAAAGAGGCTTAAACACAAGCATTTACCACTTGATCGAAATCAGTATTGAATGATTACTAAGCAATTATTTTATTGATATAAGACTTATCTATACAAAAATATTCATTGGTTAAAGCTGTAGGAAAACTGCTACTAAAGTAGCAACAACAAAAAACACATACCTGCCACGTTCCAAGGCCTATAATAGGCATTTTACCTCCGCCTACTACATTGAGAAACTTCATTTTTGTTCAGATATTTGTTTATTCAAAGTACAAGCAAGGTAAAAACCACTTGAGGATCTCGTATTTATATAAAAAAATGAAAAGCTTTCAAGTATCTGAATGTAAATAGATAATTTAAGAGATAATTATAGCTACAATGAAGTGCATTTTCTTAGACGTACAAAAACAGAAGTAATATTGGGTTATTTTATTGCCGAACTGGTTTGTCTAGGATAAGTATTGAGCTGGACCTTTAATGATATAGCCAAAAGAGGCTTAAACACAAGCATTTATCACTTGATCCAAATCAGTATTGAAGGATTACTAAGCAATTATTTTATTGATATAAGACTTATATATACAAAAATATTCACTGGTTAAAGCTGTAGGAAAACTGCTACTAAAGTAGCAACAACAAGAAACACATACCTGCCAAGTTCCAAGGCCTATAATAGGCATTTTACCTCCGCCGACTACATTGAGAAACTTCATTTTTGTTCAGATATTCGTTTATTCAAAGTACAAGTAAGGTTAAAACCAATTTAGGCTCTCGTATTTATATAAACAAATGCAAAGATTTCAAGTATCTGAATGTAAATAGATAAAATCATAGTCACAGGTTGTTTTCAACTATCGTTGTGTAATGCAATTTAATGCAATTTTAGAGATAATTATAGTTGCAATGAAGTGCATTTTCATAGGCGTACAAAAACAAGTAATATTGGGGGATTTTACAGTGGAACTGGTTTGTCTATTATCTAGGATAAGTATTGAGCTGGATCTTCAAATATGTAGCGGACAGATAAAAACTAACTTTTGTCAAATAAAATACGTTAGTAAGTCGAAGATAGGTTGTTTAAAGGTATCCTAAGCAGGCTATTTTCAATTAAATACGCAAACCGGCAATCGGTAATCTTGGCGTTGTTTTTTTATCTGGCGACTGACGAGTTGTGTTTCTGTTATTAGGGTTCTCAAAGGCTCAAATAAAGACTCGCTAAGTAGCAGCGCTTCCGAGATATTGGAGCGAAAAGTTTGATGAAAAATGTTGTTTTCTCAAACAAGGATCAGTAAATTAATAAATGTTTATGGAAGGTCTGATAGGAAGGTCATTAAAAAAGCGCAGATATTTCGAACAGAGTACTTTTAGCTATCGGTGTTGGTGAAGCTCCACGATACACCAAAAAGAGTATTACTCACAGTATTTGCCCTAGGAAAACGAAAAAATATACTTTTTATTTTTAATGAGAAAACACTATTTACTATGATGTGAGGTCATACAAATTGTAAACAAAGAAACGTCATCCATATGTAACTTGTGAGCTAACGTTGTCTTATTTGAATAATCCTAAGAGACTCCTAATTAACGTAAAAAGTTCTCATTTTATTGATCATGCTTATATCCGTAAAAGCAGAAAGCACAAATTTGCCTAAAATTGACACATTGATGGTTGGTGATTTTTTTGCTTTCAACCAAGATTTCCGCTCTACTGAGCTGATCAACATCAAGTCTTCTATGTAAGTGCAGTGCATCTGATAATAATGATAGACATAGAAAGAAAGAATAAGTAAAACGGTTACATAATCTTCCTTTTCAAAAGTCATTGACAACTAAGCTCATGCTTCATAACCTCTGAATAAGCGAGACGATAAAACCTACACAGTAAAAAGAAGTAAGCTCCAAACAATACATAGTCTTGGGTATATTTATTTCCCTTAGTACTCTAATCCACAGCTGTCCTGGGGTCTTTATTAATCTGTTTTCACATTTTCGGACGATATTTTCATGTAATCTAGTAGAAGTTTATGTTGCTGTCAACTGCTGTTTACAAATTTTATGACAGAGATCATTAATATGTCACCGGTCCAAGAAATACTTTTGAATTAAAGTTTTACAGTCGTAAAAAATGTAATGTTAATTGTTCACAAGTATTATCTATTTAAGGCCTACTTAAACATACTGCCAACTAGCCTATTGGATGCCATCATATTCTGCGTCCCCAGGTATTTTACCAGAAATTGGTCTGGCACGATAAAATGCCCACACATAAAGTGCTTTCACCCTTAATTATATGCGAATATTTAAGGGTGTGAATCTACATGATGATACTTAGTACGTAGTGAAAGTTGCATATTTTTCAATGCAAAAATTATTTTTAGCTTTAACAGTGGCGTGCGTACGGTATTGACTTCGATATTTTTTAAAGACAAAAATAATATGCCAATGGTTTTTAAAAAATAAAAATTATTTTTGATTTTACCGTGCAATTTGTAACAAATGATCTCTCTTGAATTGTTTTCCTTCGATGCGCCATTTTTGAGTAAAAAAATAAAAACCGTTCTATTGTCTAACGTGCAAAATTATCATTAATTTAATTGGAAAAATTAAACACATTAGGGCCCACTTCACTTAGTATACATGCTTTCGCCCTCCTTCTCATGGAATTGCGCTCTCGTTGAAATATCCCTGGAGTGTTTTTTATTCTATCACAAGCTGCCACTATTCTTTCTCTTAATTCCTCTACAGTGTTAATGGGACTTGTGTATACTAGTGTCTTAAGATAGCCCCACAAAAAGAAATCTAAACTATTGAGGTCTGGGGACCTTGGCCATTCTTGGGGCCCACCGCGGCCAATCCAACGATTTGGATAAACAGTTTGTAACTAATTAACAACCGCTACACTGAAATGCGCTGGTGTACCATCATGCATGTACCATATATTGTTTCTTCTTACTAACGGAACATCATCAAGCAGCAAAGGCAACTGTTGTTGAAGAAAATTGAGGGAAGTCTGTCCGTCAAGTCGCCCCGGCAAGAAGAATGGGCCAATAAAGTTGTTGCCAATAATTCCTGCCCATACGTTAACCGAAAATTGCTGTTGGAAATGGATTTCGGTTACGGCGTAGAAATTTTCTTCTGCCCACAAATGATTATTGTGGAAATTCTGAATAGCATTTCGAGAAAAATCACCTTCGTCCGTGAACATAATCATTGATTCAAATTGCGGATTTTGTGTAATTTTTTGAAGATACCACTGACAAAAGGTCACACCCCTTGGAAAATCAATAGGTAGTAACGCCTGTACTCTTAAAATATGGTAAGGATATAACAAAAAAGCCACTAAAATTCTCCAAACAATTTGATGGCAAATATTTAAGTGTCTAGCGATCTTACTCGTACCCGTATCAGGATGTTCTTCGACTTTGTGCAGCAATGCTTCCTCAATTTCAGGTGTTCTCACACTTAGAGGTCTACCTTCAGATGTTCCTTTTCGGGCAGAACCAGTTTCAACAAGACGACGATGAATATTAGAAAAGGTTCGACTATCTGGCAAAGCATGATCGGGATAACTCTGGTGATAAATCCGTCTGGCTTGCTCACCATTACCGTCGGCAAGGCCATATGCGTAATGCATTTCCGCCATTTCTGCATTTGAATAATTCACCATTATTAACAAGATTGTAAAAACTAAATAATGAAAAAGATGTCACAGCGAACATACTTGAATAACAGACTTGTCAGATGTCAAAAGCCAGTGACATATTCCAGAGCAACTAGATATTTATTGCTAAATTGCATTCTTCAATTATTACATTAATTTTCTCGGACAATAGAACGGTTTTTATGTTTTTACTCAAGAATGGCTCATCGAAGGAAAGCAACTCAAGAAAGATCATTTGTTTTAAATTGACGTACCATTTTTTTCTTAAAAAATATCGAAGTCAATATATATACTTTGAAGTTGAGTCATTAATTTTCAAATAATGATTGTAGAAAGAAGATAAACCAAAATATGTGTGTAAAAATAAAAAAAAATAAAAAAAATTTACCTTGTTTTATAAAGTATCCTCCCGACAAGTATTTCAGTGCGGTCTTGGAGCACCGGCATGCCCTCCCCTGTGAGGTCTTAAGTCACCTGATTCACGAGCCCTTTGTACTACATTAACAAAGGCACGAGCGGTTGGTTGCACTCGATTGGGAAACCGATCCGCATAAATCCGTGATGCCGCGGCAGCATTTTGTAAAGGGCGGTACTCAAACTTCTAAAGGGCTATAACTTTGTTACTTTAATTTTACCACAAAAATGTTAAAGGAAAAAACAGTTCTTTTGATCAGATCTACTCACTGTTAAAATAAATGACTCAACTCAACGATTTTTCTCAACTCAGGAAATAACATAAAGGTGTTTGCAGGTTTTGATTCACTCTGAGCCATACGGTGTCACCCTTATCGTTGGCGCTTGGAATTACCCGATTATGCTAGTTCTGATCCCTTTAGCTGGAGCAATAGCCGCTGGTAATGTTGCAGTTATCAAGCCATCCGAAGTAGCTCCTCATACTGCCGAACTACTCCAGGAGCTTATTCCCAAGTATTTGGATCAAGAGTTTTATAAAGTAAGTCGAATGCAATATTGTCATCAGGCAAAAAATATTGCAGTACTTGATAATATTCTCGCATATTCTCTAGTGATTGAGTAAGCGGTGGGTCCTGAACTTGTAAAAGTGATCAGACTCATACTGACATGCTTAGGTAAATGGCGGTAAAGTGTAAAAATCGAAGTCTGAGAAAAGTTCAAAATTCTGGATTATTTCGAACTTAATAAATAGTATTATTACGACTCAACAACCGTGAATGAATGTTGCAAAGTTACATGACTTTACAGACAGTAATTTAAATGTGACTTTTATCATAAATGTTGTTGATGCCTGAAAAAATTCCGTTTGTAATTGTCGTAAATCAAAAATCAAGTGATTTATTGATTTTATACTCTGCAAAAACAAATTTACTGTATTTTTTGTAGTTTTCATAATCTATTTATATTATTCTTTAAAAGGAAAAACGCAATAATGCAGAATTTTATTTTATTATAATTTGTGCATATTGAAATGCACATAAGTAGCACAAAAGTAAATCTTTTCAATATGTAATAATTCAATTCAATAATTGATATAATTATGTATAATAATTACATTCAGACATATGAATAATTGATCGGACAAACAAAATTTTGTTCAAATTAAATTTGCAACCTTTGCAAGATTTTCGTTAATTTTTAGAATTGAAAATGTCTGTTGTTATAAAGGGTGTAACTAAAAGGTGCATTTTGGCCTAAATTTCTGAACACCCTGTGGAAACATTGGATTACTGAATAATGTGTCTTCGTACGAGAACTTTAAGCCTCAACTTTGCTCAACAGTTCTTTTTTTTGATTCATGTCAATATCTCGATTATTGAAGAATATATGGTGTTTTGACGAAAATCATGCGAATCATAGCCATAAACAAGAAATTATTTCAAGCAGGCTTTGCCGGCTGTGTCTGTTAAAATTTTTATGACACGTCAAACAGATTCTTGTCAAGCAATAAGGTATATTCTTTAATTCACCGGTTGAGCTACCGGTGCAACCGGTTAGCCAAGTTTGCGTCCTTTAATTTCCGCTGGAACGACCGGTTGTACATCAAACTTGTCTCTATATTGATGGTGGATATGCCACCGGTGCCAACAGCATCCACCGACGTTCGGGCTCGGTTGATCCACGATATTCTAACCTCTACATTTTATCAGTTTTTGACAACTACTGTTTTGTGTGAAAAAATGGAAGAAGAAAAGATTGAAGTTAGCAGAATAGGAGTCGCGTGAAATTTTATGCTTTTTTTCAACACAATTATGCATATCGACGATCTCGAATCAATACCTCGTAAGTCCGAAAATGTCGATTTTCTGATTTTGTTCTGTTTTCATTCCTGTATGATTACAGGAATGCCCTCAGAAAATCCATATCGATGGTTATTATTCGGGAAGCATCGACGATCTCAAATCAATGCCTCGTATTGATTTGAGATCGTCGATATCTGAAAATTTCTTGGTTTCCTGATTTATAGTTCTTATATTGATTCTCGGAGCGCAAATTCTCTCCGCTGGATAACTTCTTCATCAGAATCATCACTAGAATCGAATTTTAAATGATACGGTGTTCAAATTAACAAGTATCCATTTACGATAAAACAAAGGTTAGGTTTTCTCATATGACAACAACCTGAAGGCTAAAAATGCGTCTATTTATTAACGACCATTCAACGGTACCGGTTGCTAACGTCATCACATCAGCTGTCAACCACGAGTTCACCGGATCCATCAGTGATGGAATCAACCGGTGAATTAAAGAATATACCTATACTCAATGAAAATGACACCGAAACAAGTAGCGCAAGCTGTAGCTTTGCAAGATGATGGTCGTCCTATTCGGTGTATCGCACAAAGGCTTACCGTTCCACGCAGTACGGTATTCGATGTGCTACAGAGATTTAGAGAAACTGGTTCTTACGTAAGAAGACCTGGGCCGGGAAGACGGAAAGCAACAAACGCAGTTCGGTTTATGAGACTTCAAGCTCTTCGATAAAGGACAGTTCCTGCTACAGCTTTGACTCGAAGATTGGATGATGTTCATGGTACCATAGTTTCACCTGATACTGTATGCCGAAGGTTGAGAGAAGGAAACCTATCTTCTTGTGTACCTGCTACAGGTCCTCTATTGGATGTAGATCATCGAAGGCAGCGCTTGGTATTTTCTGGAATTCATGCAGATTGGGATATGGACGACTGGAAAAACGTTCTTTTTACAGACGAGTCTCGTTTTACGAGATATTCACCTGATGGTCGCCAAAGAGTGTGGATAAGGCGTGGACAATGCTATGCTCAAAGTTGTTTCGCTCCTAGAGTGCAATTTGGTGGTGGAGGAGCGATGGTATGGGGCGGTATTCCTTTGGAATCCCGCACAGATCTTGTTTCGCTACGAGGAGGATACCTTAGGCCCGTATCGTCAGTCGTCCCTACAATTGTAGGGCGCGTTTATGGCCTCCTTGATTGTCATCCTCCTTTCTCTCCTTCAAAAATTTCTAGATTACACTTGTCCCGTGTCAGCGTCAGCGCTCTCCTATTGCGAAGATATGTTTTCTTTTTAAATTGTAGGAAATTTCAGGCTGATAAAACATGATGTAACTCAAAAGCAAGCACAATTTGATGCAAATAGATGTTTGTGACATAACCTCAAAAATAGAGTTCTGACACGGAGAAGCAGAAAACTATGACAATCAAGGAGGCCATAAAGAGATAAAACATCTGCGAAAAACTACCGTCCTATCAGTCTTGTGCCTATAGCTGCGAAAATAGCCGAAAAGATCGTCCAGGAACATCTTATGACATTTGCGTTCAAGAACAACCTGCTGCCTAGCAACCAACATGGTTTTATTCCTGGTAGATCAATTATCACCAATTATCACTGCATTGACAATTGGACCAGATCTTTAGACGCAAATGAACCGGTCGACGTGGTTTTTCTGGATTTTTCCAGAGCTTTCGATCGAGTTCCGCATAAAAGGCTCCTGCACAAACTTGAACATCTCGGAATCAGGGGAAATTTGTTGTTATGGATTGAAGCTTTTTTGTTAGACAGATCTTTCTCCGTCCGTGTTGGAGACGCCTATTCTTCTAGTCATCGTGTTACTAGTAGAGTTCCACAAGGATCTGTGCTAGGGCCAATACTTTTTCTTCTTTATACAAGCGACCTTCCCACCCGACTTTATTCTATGTGTTCCATCTATGCAGATGATACTAAAGTCTATAACACTGTCATGAACTCATCTGTGCTTCAAGAAGACCTCAAGCTGATCAGAAAGTGGTCAGAACTCTGGCTCCTGCCTTTAAATCTATCGAAATGCTACGTTCTCCACCTGGGAAAGAATAATCCTAACTTAACATATAAGATCGGCAAACATACCTTAGAGACTGTTCTTTATCACACAGATCTTGGTCTGACAGTTAATGGCCGGCTCACCTGGTCGGAGCACATTCAGAACATAACCTCTAAGGCAAAGCGGTTGCTATATATGATGGAAAGGTCATTTAGCGGTTGCACCGTTAGTACCTCCTCCTTTTTGTACACAACTTTCGTACGACCCCTACTGGAGTTTGCTGGTCCGGTATGGGATTCAAATCTTGTTCGCGATAGCAGCTTATTAGAGGCCGTTCAGCGTCGTGCTACACGTATGCCATATGGCATACGTAGGCCAAGTTATGAATACCGCCTCGACCTATATAACCTGCCTGCTTTTGCTGATGCAGCATCTGTTTCGTCTGGCAACGAACAGTCTCAGAGGCCATAATTTCAAATTGCAGAAGGAAGCTTTTAGAACCTCTACTCGTCAGCGCTTCATCTCAAACCGTGTCTTCGATGCATGGAACAGTCTTCCATCTTATGTAGTGAACTCGGAATTCGTCAACAGTTTCAAAAACAATTACGATAGACACCGCTGTGCTTAACATATTGTTCCCATTCTGTATATGTCTACTTCAGAAGTGCTAAGATTGTTAAATTGTTATATTTCTTTTGTCTGTACACTATTATCCATTTTTGTGTTTGAGTTTATAGTATTTGTACTCAACTCAAATTTGTTGTTTAATAATAATAATAATAATAATAATAATAATAATAATAAAGGCGCCCTACAATTGTAGGGACGACTGACGATACGGGCCTTACTGCCGACAGGTACATTTGGAGGGAACATGTGGTTCCTCATATGCCCTTTATAGGAGAAAATTGTCTGCTAATGCAAGATAACGCTGGGCCGCACATAGGCAGAATAATGACTAGACAATACCTCAACGATGTTGGAATTCAAGTACTAGACTGGCCGCCAAGGAGTCCGGATCTCAACCCCATTGAGCACATGTGGGATACATTAGGAAGAACGCTTAGGCAGAAATATGGAGAAGTTCAAACTGTGGCTGTGTTGGAACAGGCGCTGGTAAACGAGTGGGAGCAAATACCCCAACGCACAATAGCTGGTTTAATTGAGTCTATGCCAGAGAGGATGAGAGCTTTCATTCAAGCCCATGAGGAAATTCTCGTTTTTGATAACAATTTCTAATTACCAATGATGTCACTGTAATTTTTCAAGTTAAATTGTTTATGACTATGATTCGCATAGTTTTCTTACCAATGTTGTCACTGTAATTTTTCAAATTAAATTGTTTATGGCTATGATCGGCAGTCGATAATGATGACAATGACATTACCTACAACTTGACAAAATAATTAACGAAGTTGATACAAAGGTTAAAAAGTTATTTCAAATTTAATTTGAGCAAAATTTTGTTTGTCCGGTTAGTTTTGCGTGGCAATGTATGTTAGGCTAAACGAATACATTTTTTTAAATTATTCTTTCGGAGATTAAATAATTATTTGTAACGATAAATTCTTACAAACAATAGAATACTCCATAAAAAATAAATACGTAAACATATTAGGTTATACAGAGTAAACAGGCAGTACTTATGCCTGTATCATACAGAGAATAAAACAGACACATTCATTGCAAATACATATTTGAGAAAAACTTAAAAAATATTCTAGTCCATTCTTTGATTACCTCTAGAAGTGACTAATCTTGATCTATAAATGTTTTATGTATTTCTTAATCACTCACATGTTTTTGAAACGTTTTATCGTCTTTGTTCGTGTTTTATTACTTCTGATTCTTTTTTGTTCTGATATTTGTATGTGTTGATGGAACACTTCTTAACCTGCCAAAGTGCACTCGACGATGCTATGTACCATATGGCTAATAATTCTATTCTATTCCAATGATATATTTTGGAATTGTAATCATATAATTGGCGTCTAAATTTAAAAAAGGCTGTACTTAGGTAAGGCAGTATAGTAAAGCATATGTAAATTATCAGATGCCCCAGCACCCGACTATGTTAGCTAGCCCTTCCCGTTTGAAGAATGACACAGTGTATCTTACTTAAAAAAATGATTCCTTGAAGGTATACTGCGGAGGGATTCCTGAAACTACTAGTTTATTGGAACAACGTTTCGATTATATTTTTTATACTGGGAACTGTCAAGTAGGCAAGATTATCCATACAGCTGCTGCCAAACACTTGACGCCAGTTACACTGGAAATGGGTGGAAAATGTCCTGTTTTCATTGACCAGACAGCAGATGTTGAAATGGTTGCTAGAAGAGTATTATTTGGCAGGTAATAATAAATGCCCACGGACTTTTATGCCTTAGGGCGGTAAAGCACCTTTAGTATCCGCTATGTATACATTATTCTATGTGCTTATCCTAATGCTACCTACGGTCAATTTTGAAAATTCCGGAAATTTTGCAAGTTTTTGATGTTATAAATTTTTGAGAATCGTTTCAGCTTCGCAAATTTTGAAAATTTTCCAAATTTTAAATATCTGTGATGTCAACTGACTGTAGGACTACTGTGAAATTCAAAAAGTCTTCCCATGAACGTTCCTCAAGGAAGCGTTGTTTGTTTAAAATCCAAAGAGAGAGCATTCCTCAAACCGCACTCAATCCTCAAGGAACGTCTATAAATGGGTATTTCTCAACAAATTTAGAAATTTCATTTTGCATATCTTGAAAAAAAATAGAAATATAGTTTTACTTTAGTGAGGTTTATTGACAATGAAGGTCCTCCATATTTTTGTGTATAACATGTAGAAAAATGACTTAAAAAACTATGAAATGAGGGAATGACTTATAGGATAGGGGAATGATTTTCACAACAATTTGATGGATACATTTCAATAAAAAACATGAGTCAATTTATTAATAGAAGTATTGAGATTTGTTTTATACTTTAGAGAGCTTAGATAGTCCTTCTTCCCTGGGCACATCCTCGTATTTTCATCCTTCTCTAAGAAATGAACAACATCACCCTTAACTTTCAGTATTTTGGAGCTAACTTTACGAGTTCAGTTCTTTTGTACGTATCGACTTGAAAAATGTTTCGATCTATATAACAATTTGTATCTTTTGTACTAGTTGCAGCTTATACATTTTGTAATATTTATTCTTTTCTCCATGTTTACATCCAAGATCTTCATAGATAGTCTTGAGGTCCGGTGACAGAGCTTCTCCGAAAATGAGTCTTTTTCTTATAACGTCAGGAACTTGTATATTATTTAAAAGCGAAGACATTTGAGTTGCTGGAGAGTTTGGGTCAGTATTTTTAGTTTTCAATCTCAAATACCTCTTCTTCAATTTTTCGCTAAGTTCCTTACTTTATTTTACAAACTTTTAATCTTCGCGTACCGAATAGTTCGTCGCTTGCGCATTCTACGTCTATTGAGAGCAGACGAATTCTCTGCTCAGGGCTGTAAAGATGGTGCAGGATGTGGTGGGGCTGTTTCTTCAACTATTCTCTGTAAATTTGTTTGTAATGTAATTCGCTTTATCCTATAAGCTTTACTCCATTGTCTTCGTTTTTGACTAGTTTCTCCTGCACTTATAGAACTTATTGACTTAACTTGACTTCTTCTTTAAATACTTTAATCGTTCTTTTTCACGCAAAGCTTCTAAAGATTCAGCATTAATTTTCATTTGTTTTTCGCCTCTTTCTGTCGTACTTCTTTTTTAATTTCTTTTCTTCTTCACTTAACTTCTTTATTTACCTCATTCTTGATATACGGATATCTGTTAAAATTGTAAACACATGCTATACAACCTGGAGTTAAACAATAACACCCAAACCACAATTTTATATATGCAAAAATCATTCCCTCATATAATTTTTATTGCCTGACTTTCTAATCTAGTGAGGGAATGACCGCCAGGGAATGACGGATTTTGCATAAACAACACCGCAACCAACAGTACATCACCTCAAATTGATTTAGCTTATTGTTAATGCATTTTACTCCCCAAACCAAGAAAAAAATCATTAAAGCATTCGAACAGTATAATGACTTACCTTTTAATATAAACAGTGACGTAATGACACAGAGAAGTGTAATGTTCTAATTATTGAAATCCAATACTTTTTTGCAGCAACTCTTTTCACTATTACGAAATTTCGCCATGTTGACATTATTGGCAGTAATGCCAAGTTTTAATATCATAACAGCTGCGTTTAAAAATATCAAATGGTGTGACCACAAATCGAATATTTATAATGGGTGAGGGAATGATTTCATTTCAAGGGACATAGTTTAAACAGATTTTTTATATGCATATTTATTTTTTAGCAATGAAAACTTGACTATACAATCCATACTTACTACCATATATTTTAGTAATATTCAATTTATAAGGATATGAACGGATTTGATTGTTTATATTTTTTTATTATTAATTTCAAAAATAGGGTGAAAATGTGCCACTTTTTGAGGTTTTTCTATAATTCTAAAAAAATTATCAAAAGTATTTCAAATTACACGGAAGGAATAAAATATGGAATACTTCCTGCTTGTATTACAGTATAAAAAATCTTTCATATTCCTTCTGAATTGGCAAAGAAAAATTTTTTTCTGGCTTTTGGGGTGAGTATGTGCCACAACAGTTTTCAATGCATATCTTATAAAATAAGCGACGTGGCACATTCTCAGCATAATATTTCAAAAGAATAAATATAGAGATTGAATCAGTTACGTGCTAAATCATTTAAAAAACTTTATTTTGTCAACTTTAAGTAACATACAACTGTTTTATAATAATAGTATCTAATTAAGATAATTCAGGAACTTTAAATATTTCCCTCTTTGATATTTGAGACGGTTTATTAATTTTCTTTTTAATATCCTCATAACAATACCAAATGGAATCTCGATTAAGAGGCCACTTCCAGTTTCCACCACATTTTTCCATTGCCGAAATTAAAGCTGTATTATCTGCAACTTCTTTTACTTGACCTGGATAGAGTTGGTTTTCGTACATAACTAGTACATAGTCACCTTCATTTACTTCATCTTTTTACATGTTTGTTTCATTTGTTTGAATGGGTTCCATAATTGTATCTGATTCGTCACTTAAATAACTTAAATAAGGCGAATAAGCGCTTTGATCACTTTCTGCATATGAAACATGTCCTGTGCTTTCATCATCACTATCTGATGGGTTACTATGCTTCCTAAATCGTCGAGAAGGATTATATTGCTCACGTGTCTGCCCTGATGAAGTTGAATGTTGTTCCAAGTCCATTGGTGTGTTACTATTATTTTGCGAATTGACATCAGAAGCCGTGATACTTTTCCCGGGAGGAACGTTAATTTTTCTTCTTTTCTTGTTTGTTCTTGTAGAAGTTATGATCTGTCTTTTTAAATTCAGGTTTTTAATAAAGGTTTCACTAAGGAGGGCTTTTACTTCAGGTCAGTCTTCAATATTATGCATGGGCAGCCTTTGTAACACTTCATGTCGATTTAAAGGAGCAATACCGCATTTATGAAAGCCAGCCTTGAGGTTTTTAGCACAATTTTCTTTTAAAATCCGTACGAGTTGTTTCAAAAGACCCGGAAATTCATCTTTAGGCACTGTCATGCATCGACTATTTCGAACATTTTCTTTCCATTCATTTAAAACCTTTCGCCATGCAAACTTAACAGGCCTAAAGAATGCTACATCTAAAGGCTGCAGGAGGTGGGTAGCATTGGGTGGCAAACAAATAAAGGAAATGTTATGTTCATGACAAAGATCGATCACTTTCGCATTTATATGTGAACTTAAGTTATCGCCCAAAATAATTTTCTTACCTGGTTGTTTTCTTAAAATGGGGAGCATTAATGTTACAAACCAGTCTTTAAAACATTGAAAATTAAACCACCCTGGTTTTGTGCGATTGTAGCGTGTCTTCTCAGGGCCATTCTCGGTACAACTTTCCCACATCTCTTCAGCTTTATAAACAACATAAACAGGTGCGAGTTCACCACTCGCGCTTCCACACATCATTATTGATGTATTCGATTTTGATTAATTCTTTATATTTTCAGGGTATTTGCATCCTCTTTTAACAAGGACCTTAGACATGCCTGGATCATCCATTAAATATGTCTCGTCATAGTTCCAGATATTCGCTGCAGGAACATTTTCAATTTCTCTTTCCAGGTGGTCAAAAAAGTCATTTATCACATCTTCATTAATAGAAGCTCGACTATAGGTAATATTTCTGGCAGCACGATTAGAAATTTGTTGTGCATGCCTTTTTACAAAACAATTTGCCCATTAAGTACCGGGCAAGTTATTCTTAAATTTCTCAACTGCTCTGCCTTGCTTATCTAAAAAACTCTTAAGAATGAATCGCAATTCTCGTTTGTTCACGGGAAATCCATAACTAGATAAAGTGAGGATAGCTGCTCCACTAACAGAAATTCTTTTCGCTCTAATTTTATCTAAAATTCGTGCCAGTGTTTCTGGACGATAGTTTCGGTAATGCCTAGTTCCCAATTTTCTTACATATTGACGCGGCATTCTGAAAAAAATATATATTTTGTAGAATCTGCTAAATCTGGTCTACATAACGTGGGGCGAGAATGTGCCATTCGATGGCACAATCTCACCCCAGATATTTGCATTATAACCTAAATTTTTTTGTAAATCAAAAAAACAAATTAAATAACTAATTCTCTCAAAAATATGTTCAAGCTAAATAAATTCCTAATTGAAATTGCTTACCTGAATACTTCAATTTTTTACACACTTATCGCAACACTACAAAGTTTACAGCCTAAAGGCTTTGGCACACAGAACGCGATCTGTCGCGGCGGGCTGCGGTCTCGGACCGCGACGTGAAAGCGGTCATCTTGTATTACGCAGCATTGCATTAAAGCAGTCCCACTGAAGGCGGTCTCCCGCAGCGGGCCAGTGTAGATCGCGGCGACAAGCGATACAGTCGTACAAAATTACAGATTATCGCGCGGTCTGTATTAAAAATTAAATCATGTCGGAAAATACTGAACAATTTATAGAAACAGTGAGAAAGTATGTGTTTCTATACGACACTAGACATGAAGATTACAAGAATGTTTTGAAAAAAACTGAAGCTTGGAAGGAGATAGCTGAAACTCTTGGACTGAGCAGTAAGTATATTTATTTATCACAAAAGAATATATAAAAATACGTTTATGATTTTGTTTACTAAAGTAATCAGCAAAATGCTCTCGTACTTCAAACGCAACAGCATTCGATCTTCTGTTGGTCGGTGTTGTCGCTGCTAATGCTCGTATTGGTTCTACTTGTTCGTCTGTTTCAATGACTGATTCCCTATTGCCGATTTTTGTTATGATGTAATTGTGCAAACAGCATGCCGCTTTCACAATCCAGTCAGCAGTGCCCAAGTCTGTTTCTGTAGGTCTTAAAAACAGTCGCCATTTCATAGCTAAAATGCCGAACGCATTTTCAACCACACGACGTGCTCTGCTGAGCTACCGATTGAATGTTTTCTTTCTAACATTATTAATAACTCCCGATTTTGGGTAAGGCCTCATTAAATATGTTTGGAGTGGAAACCCTTCGTCACCAACGAATACATGAGGCACGGAGACTTCTGTTCCAGGAAGTGGTTTTGGGGAAGAATAATTTTATCATGAACAAACTGTTGATAGAAAACTGAATTTTCAAAAATAGCGCTATCGCTGTGGCGTCCATAATTTACAATATCGACTACCATAAACTTGTAATATGGGTCAACAATCGCGAGGAGGACGATGGAGAAATAATTTTTGTAGCAAAAATAGGCTGAACCACTATTTCGAGGGCATTTTAATTTAATATGCTTCCCGTCTATGCTTCCAAGGCAATTCGGGAAACCCCAATGTTCTAAGAATCCCGCTACAGATTGCTTCCACATCTTCGTGGTGGGTCTGGGCAAGTAAATTGGTTGTAGAGCCCTCCAAATTTCTTGACAGACATCTTTCACTATTTTGGATACTGTGGACCGTCCTAATCGGAAAGAAAAAGCGATAGTCTGATGGCTATCGCCTGTAGCCAGATATCTGAAATAGAAAAAGTAATATGTAATATTACAATAAGTTTTATTCTTGTTTTAGGTGAATCAGCTAAACAGAAATGGAAAAATTTACGTGATTCGTACATCAGATACAAAAAGTCCGTGAAGGGTGAAACAGGCCAGGCAAAAAAATATTGTAAATGGCCGTGGAGCAGTCATATGAAGTTTTTAGATTATACTCTGAAGCCACGCTCTCATTCTAGCAATGTATCCCAAAGCTTAACAGACAGTGATGAAAGCAAGTTACCTGAGTCACAAAATTTATCGCCCACTGGATATGAGCAAAACAGCAATAAATCTGGCCGAAAATCTCCAACAGAAGAAACGCCAACTCCAATAAAAAAAAATTAATGCAATCCGGGAAGACATCAATGCAAAACTCTTCAGATGACGTTGACAAAGTAATCAGTTATTTGGAAAAAGATAAAAAAATGGATGGGATAGATTACTTATTTTTGAGTTACGCTGACACCTTTAAAAAATGGCGCCCAATTACTCAAGCCAAGATGAAATTAGAGCTTGCTACATTATTTTCACGAACTGAAATTGATGAACTAAATGCACAATCTCCATCACCGTCATCTCCAACCTATTCCCATACTTTAAGCAATTCGTCGTGTCCTCCACAGTTCTGGAATGTGGATGCTCAGTTACCAGAAGTATCTGAGAATCTAACTTATCATGACTTGACCAAAATAACGGTAGCGCAGGATTCTCACGTCAAACTGCAGATCAGGCATTACTTTCAGTAAGAGAAATTTATGAAAATGCCAGCAACCTGATTGAAGATTCCAGACTCTAGAACTTCGTAAATACGTTTTGTTCTACAATGGGGGAAGAATAAACTACCTCTGAGTGTTAGTTTTTATTTTTAATGTGAATTTCTACTTTTCGTTCAATATTTATTATAACACATTATTTAAATGCCTTTGTTTTTATCACAAAAAATAAATGTTAAATTTCATTCTGTTAATTAAAGTGGATTACAAATTGGATATTTGGTTTAATCTTACCTCAAACAGATGGCCAGTCTTTGTCTTGTATCAATTGGTTTCCTCCAGTTTGTGGTGCATTTTTCAATATTTACTTTTATTAGTTCATGTAATTCTTCGAAGCACGCCTTTGACATTCGAAAATATTGAAAGAATTTGTCCTCATGCGACCGCAGTTCAATACAGAGGCGATGGTATTCACCACACTGTTCTCTTTTCTTATTAATGTCGTGCACCCAGTAACGTCTTTTATTCTTTTTCTTTTTTTGTAAAGCAAAAAGAAGCAAGAGAACTTTTTGAGATCTAGACTTTGCGAACATAATACAACAATATGAAACTTCTGACTGGCCCGCGTCTGTACACTGCGCGGCTTGTGTGGCGTCACAAATCGCTTCCCGCCACGAGGATCGCGCGATAACTGCCCGCCGCGACAGATCGCGTTCTGTGTGCCAAAGCCTTCGTTAAAAAACGTGGCAAAATTGACGTATGCACTGGAAAGAAACGGTCGATGCGGTGCGCTTCGCAATAGCGCCACAAGATGTCGCAAGTAATATTAGTCTCGCAGTAAATATCGGTATTTGAATAAATATGAATTCTAAGGTAGAAAATTTAAAGACGTGCAGAAAAACATTGTGGCACATTCTCACCACGGGGGGCACATTTTCACCCCATTTTACGGTATCTAAATTTTTTCTTACTGATGATACTTATTGATATAATAAAAATGTTACATTGATGATAAATCCATACAACTCAGCATCAATGACTCAGGACATGAATTTCGAAATTTGCTGAGAAATACCCAAGTAAGAACCATAAGTTGGAAAATGTATGGACCCATGTACATATTTTTTACAGGCTTTTGAACGCTGGTCAGAGTTGCATTGCACCTGACTACATACTTTGTGATAAATTGACCGAACAGAAATTTGTGTCTGCTGCAAAGAAAATAATCAAGGAATGGTACGGAGAAAATGCTAAAGACTCGCCCTGCTATGGCAGGATAATCAACGAAAGACACTTTAACAGGATCATCAAACTGCTGGAAGGTAAGTGATCTAATTGAAGTTTTCCAAGAGATTAAATAAAATTCCGCAGTGAGGGCTGCTCCAAAACTGCCCTGACAAAAATCACCTTTTCCCCCGATTTTTTGAAATGTAGTATGGCGTTTTGAGAATGACTGCAATCAAGAGACGCCATTGTAGAAAAAGTGTTGATAAGTACGTGCAAATACAGTGCTTTTCAAAAAGATAATATTGATATAATAATAAAGTTTAGCGTAAGCTATTACCCCATATAAAAATAAATACAAACATGAACAGAATAGATAAATGACAACAAGAGTGATAATATAACAAAAGTATTATACATACGAGTATTCAATGTAATTATCCTGATGAATGAATAAATACGATTTTTATTAGCAGAAGTCAAAGATACGTATACTAAGTGACATATAAATCCGAACACCCAGTTTAAATGGTTTTATTTTAATAAAATTTTGTATAAGTACTTAATGAAGCATAATAAGTAAATGATAAAAATTTCAAAATGATTGCACTGCTTTAAAGCCCTTTGACCTTTAATAATGTTTGGATGCACCCTGATGTGCTACGCATTCTCCAACGCGCCTAGGCATGCTTCTGATCAGGTGGTCAATGTCCTCCTGTGGTATCTCATTCCAGGCAACCACCAACTCCTCTCGAAGTGCTTCTAGAGTCTGAGGAGGACGTTGCAAATTGAGCAATCTCCTACCCATCATATCCCACACGTGCTCAATTGGGGATAAGTCGGGAGATCTTGGTGGCCATCGTAACAATGTGACATCATTATGTTGAAAGAAGTCTATTGTGACTCTTGCAACATGTGGTCGGGCATTATCTTGTTGGAAAGTTGGATCTGCCAGGGTGTCAAGATAGGGTAAAAGATGGGGTTCTAGAACTTCGTGGATATAACGCTGCGCGTTCATGTTACCTCTGATGAAGATTAAAGGTGACCTGGAACCATAAGCTATAGCACCCCAAACCATAACTCCAACAGTGTGATGAACATGTATTTCAACAAAAAACTGTGGATTCCTCCTTTCACCACGTCGCCTTCTAACCCTGGCACGACCATCGTGCATGCCTAAACAAAATCGAGACTCGTCACTAAAGACAATACTGTTCCATTCCTGATCCCAGAGTGACCGTTGTCTGCACCACTTAAGGCGATTACGTCGGTGTTCTCGAGTTAAAGGGAGGACCCAGTGTGGCCGGTATGAAAACAAGCCAAAACTTCTCATTCGTCGGTAAACACTTCGCATGCCAATAGGTCTTCCGTGTTCTGCAAACCATTCATTTGCAATGAACCTGGTAGTGGAGAAACGGTCCCTTAAGGCCAATAATCTTAGGCGGCGATCTTCACGGTCTGTTGTTCTACGGCGGCGTCCAGTGCCCCTTGCTCTTTGCGTACGGCCTTCTCGAAGCCATGCCTGACAATACCTAACCACAGTGTCTACACTTCTTTGCACTCTAACTGCAATTGCCCGAAAAGAAACTCCAGCTTCCCGAAGTCCCACTATACGGCCCCTATCAAACTCACTAAGTTGACGAAATCGTACAGGTCTCCGTACTCTAGGCATCGTAATCGATCGTAAAGGATGTCAAGAACCAAAATCCGCCATGGGTTAAGTTGAAAAACGCTTTTTAGCGACACTTCGCCTTTTTATACTTTGTATAAATAAAGCCGGATTATTATTATTATTATTAATATTGTTATGTTCAAGGTCTGGAGACTTGGTTCACCTCAAATGCCGCTTGAGCGAAACTATTGTTTGGTATAAGAGATTTGTTAGGTGTCTCAGAAAACACGCTCCGCCAGCCGCGAGTCTGAGCCTTCTATAATTTAGCCGGCGCAGAGGTAGACGCAATTTCATGTACTGTGAGCCGTCAATTGAGACACACCTAGACCATTATCTGCTGAAACAGACTTTATCCATCTATACATAGTGGGAACAGATGCACCAGGCGGCAGCGGTAGCCGCAGTAGTAGACTCTTCGGGCTCCTGATCAGTCGCCATGCGCTGTGTGGGTTCGAATCCCATCCCAAGAGAAATCTTTCTCTTGGCTATGGATGTTGTGATTGTCCGTAGGTGGTAGATGGTCTATGACTGTCGAACGCGGAGGTACCACCCGGCGGATCTCGTAGGCGGGGCCAGAATGTGTGCATGTTGCATGCACACGTGTTCCCTCGCCAGAGTCCGTGTGGCATTCCCCCTTTCCCCTGTATCCCCCTATAGCCCCATGGTACCCATGGGTGTTTAGGCCTTTGGCCTTCGTGGTGGTTGGAGTATATAAAAAAAAATCTCAAGTGGGGCTTCGGCTTAGATGACCTCGGCATGTGAATGCCTTTCAAAAACCATCTTATGCCTGCATCGTTAATAGCATTTTGGTAAAAGACTCAAACAATTATATCTTAATGTCTTATAACACTGTAAGGTGAGAAATTTCAATGTAGAAAAACAGACATTTATTTCTTCCCGACAAAGGTCCTACCGTAATCTAAGCCCACAATAATATGATGGATTGTAGATGCTGTCCGGAATGACAGCTTTCCAGTGACGACAACCAGGATAAACTTCCTGTTGGTGGGAGCGGGATCCTGGGTCCCTCCATCAGATTTTCACGTTACTTCTATATAGAAGCGAAATTTCAGGGACGCCGCACACATGAACCAAAATCAGGACGGTGAGAGGTGTAGCTCCCACTCCTCTTCCACTTCCCACTTTTGCTCTGACCAGCGAATGTCCCAGCCCTAGAAATTATACAACTAAAAAGGTAGACCTTGAGTTATGTTAGTGGCATATAACGACTTGACGAATGTTTGACTGATTATGGTGACTATGTTAAAATATGAAAAAATGCTCATTCTTTCTATACCGAAGCAGCCGCATAGGCAGAAGCCTTAATGCCAGGACACCGCGGCTGCTATGAGGATCCCAAAGAAATCTTGTTACTCCGATTTTTGAACTGCCTAAGGCTAGTAGAATTGGGAAAAACTTCCGCTTGTAGATTATTCCGCGATCTCGACACCCTCGGTACAAAGGAGCGGTGGTATCGACAACAAGACATGGCTAGGGTGGGACGCCGGAGTCAAGCGGGTCTGTCTGAGGAGCAAAGCCAGTTAGTGTAGCGGTAGAAGACAGCTAGACAGCCGATGGCCCGCCGGTGCGAAAGAGTTCCGAGACTGTCTATTAGAGAAGAGTCATCGATCAGTCGAACAGATCTCATCTGGACAGCATAGAGCATAAATAATGTAGTCGGGGCGGCAGCACCACAAACGTGTGAGCAATTCTCGAGGCTAGGCCTTATCTGGGCCTTGTATAAATTGAGAAGGTAATGCGGAGAATATTACTTCTTAGCCATAAATAAATATCACAGCTTTTTCCCTGCAGCTGCCCCTATTGACAAGATGTTTTCGTGCCAGATGAAGTCCTCGGTGATCTGGATTCCAACCAAATGAACGGCTCTTTGGCAGAACTCGGCCATCCATCGAAACCGGATGAGCACTAGGACGCTTTTTGTTCGTCAAGGTACAGTACTGTGTTTTGAAAGCATTAAACTTTACAAGATTGCTGCGTCCCCAACCAGCGATAACCTCCAGGACTCTCGTCAGAGAGGAAGTCGTCGCTAGTCTTCTTTTTTCACTCTGAATTCCTGCATGTAGAGTGCTGTCAATAGCGAAGCTGTGAATTCGATTGATCGTGCAGGAAAAGAGGTCGTTGATATGTAAGAGAAACAAATTTTATTTTCGATGTTGTTCTCACGAGTCCACCCTCCATCCGGTAATTCCGAGGGTGGAGTGAGTTCACGTGCGGACTTCTTAGTACTCGAGGGATTCATCTTGCTAAACTTCAGCAGACCTATAGAGATAGTGTTTTGTCAAGAGCCCAGGTTTTTCGGTGGTTTAAAGCATTTTTAAAAGGGAGAGAGTCGATTGTAGTTGAACCATGAAGCCAAGAACAACTGGGTATTGCATCACGATAATGCTCCTTGGAGGCTAATTCGCCTGAGACTTGAATCCTTGTGACGTTCTTCTTTTCCCAAAGTTGAAAAATCACCTCAAGGGAACTCATTTTGGGACAACCGACAACATTCAAGCGGCTGAAACCGACCAGCTGAAGGCTATTCCACTATCGGCGTCCCAGTACTGCTACGAGGAGTGGAAGAACCGTCGCCAACGCTGTGTGGCTTCAGAAGGGAGTTATTTTGAGGGTGACAATATAAAATTGTAATTATATTTGAATAAAAACATTGAAAAAATCAGTCTCATCACTTAATTTACAGACTCGTAAAACACAAAAGACAGTTTTTGTCCACATGGTATGAAATTCGATAAGCTGAATATTCTTAACTACCCACGTTACGCTGCGTTAAGTTAGGTTACGGAAAGAAATATTTCAAATTTCGAAATGTCACTGATTGTCTTATTTTTCCTCTTGCAGGTGCTAAAATAGCAATAGGTGGTTCGCACGACATCAACGATCTCTACATAGAACCGACCATCGTGACTGACGTTACTCCAACGCATCCCTTGATGCAAGAAGAGATCTTTGGTCCTATTCTTCCCATCTTTATAGTTGACAATGCCTCGTCCGCAATCGATTTCATCAACAAGCGCGAAAAGCCGTTGGCACTGTACCTGTTTTCTACGAGCAAAACCACCCACGCTCTGTTTTTGGAGTACACCTCCAGCGGGAATATGCTGATCAACGATACCTTGATGCACTTTTCTTGTGACACCATTCCTTTTGGAGGGGTTGGAAACAGTGGAATGGGAGGGTACCACGGGAAATACACCTTTGACACATTTTCACATCCCAAAGGAACGGTAAGTAGTCGTGCCATCAGACTTTGATTGTGATGAACTTTACTCATGTACTATTTCTCCATATACCTACCAACTTACAGAGAGCAGAAATATACTATATATAAAGTTGCGCGTAACAGAATACCTAATACCTTCATCCCGACATAGATAATTTCGCTTGATGACAAATAAACTGCTAACGCATCCGAGTCAGCCAAACAAAACATGTCTCCAAGAAAAGGTGGAGAAAAAGTCTTTGAGCCCTTTTCAGTCGAATGTTCGTAATGCCAAATTTTGACCATCGCAACACCGTAACACGAATTATCCAGGGGGACAAGAGAGCAGTGCTGTAAGCGACAGGATGCGTGGTGACAAAGAGACCCCGCGGACTACTGGCGTGTGACGAAGCGCGAGGAAAGAAGTATTATACCTAGCTAGGTACCGGTTTCTTAAGCAACGGGTTGCGTGTTTGATGTTTTGGTTTCCAAAACATCCGCGAAAATTTCTTTGCTACATCTGAATTTTGAAGATAATAATAATAATCTATATTCCAAATTGTACAGTGACATTACAAAAATTGTATAGCCACTACAAAATGAAATATTGCGTCACTATCACCATAACTATAGTAGTTTACCTGAAATCTTTTTTTGTGTTACATGGTTATTTATTTTGAAACAGCTACTATCTTAAACTATTGCAACTCTCATAGAACTCATCTATTGTATGTGGCTCTGACTGTACTAGAAATTGCTTAAGAGTCTCTTTAATTTTATGTAAACTGTTTATGTTTTTAATTTCATCTAGTAGATTGTTTTCTGTGGAGGATAATCTGTTCGAGTATCATAAACAGTTTGCACCTCAAGCTCAAATAAATTTTTATTTTTGAAAAAAATATGACACTCATACACATAGATGGCATACGTAGTCATGATTTTTTCAGTTTTAAACACCCCCCAGCAAGTTTAATTGTAATTTAGTGCCTTTAGCAGACGTGCTGCTCTTTTTTGAACAACAAAATTTTTTTTAATAAACCTATTGCGCCCCCAAAAAATAATCCCATACTTTAGAACACTTTCAAAATTAGCATGGTACAATATTTTCATACTCCTATTATTTAGATATCTTGATATTACCCTAAAACCATAGCAAATGGAATTGAGCCTCTTCAGCAGTTCGAATACATGTGTTGTCCAGTCTAAAAATTCATCAATATAGATGCCTTTACGACTTTACTCTGCTTAGTTCTAAATAATGTTGCATCAGTTTTGGATTTATTCAGCACTAGTTTGTTCTCAGAAAACCATGTATTCACACTTCTGAATAAGAGATTCCCATTAGCAGTTAGGTCCTCTACACTTGTCCCACCCAACACTAAATTTGTGTCATCAGCATAGCAGATAATTTTATGCTTGCTCTCATCACCACTACTCGTAGTAACAAAATAGAGATCGTTTAAAAAACTACAAACAAAATGGGCCCAAGTATACTACCCTGTGCTATGCCGGTTGAAGTCAACTCAATGTTTGACTTGTAAGTTTGACCTCCTTTAACAATTTCAACCCTCTGTTGTCTATTATAGAGGTACGACTTGAACAATTCCAGCGCAGTTTCTCTTACACTATATCTTTGTAGCTTTAATAACAATATGTCTCTGTCGATGCAATCATAAGCTTTGGACAAGTCCAGGTAGAAACCAACCGCTAAGTTTCCCTCATCTAATTGCTTAAGTACTGTTTGAACAAATTGGAAGATTGCAGTATCTGTTGATCTCCCATCTAGGTAACTATGCTGATATGTATTAAATAAGTTACAGTCATTCATAAATTCTAATAATCTCTTACTGATGCCTAACTCAAATAATTTTGAAAAACCCGTTAAAATATTGATTGGCCTATAATTTTCTAATTGCTCTGGATTACCTTTTTTAAAAATTGGTTTTCTAACAGCTATTTTCAAATTCTCTGGGAATGATCCTTGTCTAAAAGCATAATTAATAAGTAATCACAAAACATGTTTTAAAACTGGAATGGAAAGTTTTACTATTGTTGTTGGAACTTCATCTATACCACAGCTGAATTTATTTTTTATCCTCCTCGACAGTTCACACACTTAATCAACAGTCATTGGTCTTAAGTATAATGATTAGTCGTTTTCTTGTAAATTGCAGTCAAAAGGTACCTGTGTTCCATCTTCCCTAGACACTCAGGCATCTAAAGAGAGATTCGTGTTTATTTTCAAAAAAAATTCAAACAATCAGATTGTAGTAACTGGAGAAAATGAATCAATTGTACTATCAAGACGAATCCAAGGACAACTCAGATGTCAAAAACCATCAAGTCATTCAACATGTAGCCCGTATGATAGGAACTTCAAAGAAAACACTGTCGCTCAGGGTGACAGATGTGCATCATCTGACATTAATTGTCAAATTTTTGCATCCGGAGAAATTTTTATATTTTGGCAAGATTGAAGGCAATAATATTATGGAAGCTGAACCCGAGGGGTCCCCAGGCGACCCCTCTACTGCTTTGAGTGGAGTTGGCGCGGAGTGCAGCGCTACTTTTGAATATATTCCAGAAAACCAAAACGAGATGACGCCAATGATGACACCGATACTGGAGAAGGAAAACGAGAACCAGAGACTTTGAAGATAATTTCAGACCAAGCAGCCCAGATTCAGAGACTGACTGACTGTGTGGAGTCACTTAATGCCCAGGTTTTTAAGCTTACAAGTATCATTCATAAAACAGTTCCCAATGTTGATTCTTCCAAAACAGCAAAACGTAGACATAACAGCCATTCGAGTGACCTAGATACTGAGACCGATGAGGACACATAGGGTGATCTTTTCACACCTGTGCGACGTCGCAAAGTGAGACTGCGCAAAACAGAATTTCCTCCGCTACCGACGAAATCCCCAAATAACAAACATTCAGGCAACCTAAAACCGTCTGTGTCTGTACCCTCTACCGCTTCTACTAGTCAGCCAAGGGAAAGACCTTTATCAGTATCCACACAGAGTGTTTCTCCTGTTATACCTCAAGTGCAGTCTGATCCATTGGCTGGCTGCAACTCATCTTCCTTGCCATCCAGCGGATCTCTAAACACACAGGCCCAATCGCCTCGCCAGGTGCGTATTACTCCAATCGTGTTGAGAGATGGGACAAAATGGCGCACCTTAAACTATTCCTTTGTAAGTCTTGGTACTCGTATTGAACGAGCAGTCGCCGTTGACACTGGGATACGTATCATCCCCAAAACCGAAAACGATTATCGCAGGATAATCCGTCTTTTCAAAGAGGAAAACATTCCTCATCACACTTTCCCTTAGCCCACTGAACGCAACATCCATGCGGTTATCAGAGGTATCCCAGCATCAACCACCGAACAGGAGGTCAAAGGTGAGCTAGAAGAGAAGGGTTACGCTCCCTTTCACATCATTCGCCTAAAGCGCAACGGCGGCGTGCCCGTGCCCTTGATGGTGGTGATCCTGCCTAAGACGGAGAAGTCACAGCAAGTGTTCAACGAGCACGAATTGCTGGGGCTCTCTATCAGAGTCGAAATTCAGAAGAACTCTCGACTCATTGGGCAGTGTGACCGCTGCCATAAGTACGGACACGCACAGTCGTATTGCACTGCGCCGCCAAAGTGTCTAAAATGTGCCCAAGACCACATGACACATATGTGCCCTCAAACAGGACAAGAGGTTCGCAGATGTGCGAACTGTGGGGGGACCACCCGGCAAATAGTCCGACCTGTAGATTTACTCCTAGGAGAAATCTACGTCATCTCACAAAGGCGAGCAAAGTCCTACGCGGACGCAGCAAGAGATGACATCTCAACTGCCCCTGCTGTTTCGAGTTCATCTACGACTACTCAAAATGTGGATCTAGCTACAGCGCTCAGGTGCCTACAGCAGATTATTAGTCCCCTGATAAGCGCCACTAAGGCATTGCAGGCGATCTTTTCGCTAAATGGCTAGGTACAATAGCAGACAGCCTGAATTCATCAAAATTCTTTTCTGGAATTGTTTGGGTCTTAGGGATGTCCCCAAAAAACGGGAATTTCATCAAGCTCTTTTGGATGAGAACGTCGATGTAGCTCTGCTGCAGGAAACATTGCTTAATCCGGGAGATCGTCTAGCTTTCCCGAATTAAGATGTTATCCGCGCTGATAGATTAAATGGACGGGGTGGCGGTTTGGCAGTGCTAGTAAAACGTGGTATTGACTATTACAGAAGCACAAACGCTGAGATGCAGAGCATCGAGGCAACTTCGGTGGTAGTGAATATGACGGGAGGTATCTCGTTGAAAATCACATCGGTATATGTCAGATGTGGTGCCAGGCTGCAAGAGATGGATCTGGAAGTTCTGTTTGACTGCTCGGGTCCGCTTATTGTAGCAGGGGACTTTAACTGTAAACATCGAGCATGATACTCTAGGTTAAATTCCGCCAGTGGGATTCGACTTTACAACCAGGTGATACGAAACGGCTACCTCATACACAGCACTGAGGAGCCGACTCACCACCCATTTAATCACCTTTAGGCACCAGATGTCATTGACTTCGCGATATCTAGAAACTGTAGATTCAGTGTCACTTCTCGAATCATGTATGACATTTCGAGCGATCATCTTCCTATCGTACTGGAAGTGGGTAATCAGCAAACCTTGGAAGGGGAAACTCTTCCAAGGAAAAGGGTTAATTGGGAGCTATACAAGTCGCTCCTTAGAGAGTTCCGCAATATCCCGATCACAGATGATGAGAACGATATAGATGCTGCTCAAGCGGAGTGGACAAGTTCCTTTCAGCAAGCTCTGCAGCGTGCAGCTGTACTACCAGTACGACGACACGGCAGACCGTTTCTCCCTGCAGATATTCGTCAGAAAATTTCTGACAAAAGAGCTGCAATTAAGCAAGCGAAGAGGTCTTGTCACCCAGATGACATTCACAGAGCAACTAATCTTGTTCATGAAGTGAGAAATGCTCTTCATGAATTCCGTAATGAGCAATGGAATGACTTTCTGTCGGGGATGCTTGACTCAAGTATTCCTCTCTGGAAAGTTGCAAAGTCGCTCAGGAACGGAAAGCGAGAACAACTCCCGCACATCAACGGTCCTAGGGGCATAGTCTGTAGGACAGAGGAAAAGGTCGAGGTTTTCGCTGATGCAATGGAAAGTCAGATCTCTCCCAACTATGACCTTGATAATGACCTCGACGAGGAGCAACATATTGTAAGATCCGTCAGGAGATATTTTAGGGCCAACGGTGTCAGTGGCAGTAGTTCCTCCCTTAGTGATTTTTCCTCAGAGGAATCTTCAGATGATTCCTCAATTGAAGAGCTGCACGGCACATCAGCGAGATCTCCTGAGACTCCGCATTGCACACCAGCAGAGCTCCAAGGTCATATTAAAGACCTCAAGGTGCGTAAAACACCTGGAGAGGATCCAATTACTAATAAGCTACTTTCGCGGAAGTCCTTAACTTATCTCGTGGCAATAATCAATGCCATGCTAAGGACCCAGCACTTCCCAACGGCGTGGAATCATAATGATTCCAAAGAAGGTGGGTTCGACATTCCCTCAGGACTACCGCCCCATTAGTCTACTGTCAGCTCCTTCTAAGCTCGCTGAAAGGGTGATTCTACGTCACCTCGAAAATTTCTCGGCAGACCACAATGTGATTCCTGACGTGCAATTTGGCTTTCGGTCTGAGCATAGTACGGAGCTACAGACCATAAGGCTTATTGAACGAGTAACCAGCGGGTTCACCCGTAATGAAAGTACTGGCATCTTGCTACTGGATGTCTCAAAGGCATTTGACAAGGTGTGGCACAAGGGCCTTCTCTACAAATTGATCCATAAGGGCTTCCCCTTCTGGCTCCTAAAACTTTTGAAATCCTTTCTCGAGGGTAGGAAATTTCGGATCAAAATTAATAACGTTCTGTCGACAACACGGCCCATCTAAGCCGGTGTCCCTCAGGGTTCGGTTCTTGGACCAGTCCTTTATTCACTTTTTATTCATGACGTCCCTTGCCCCAGCAGCTGTGAAACCTATCTCTATGCTGATGACACTGCCCTGGTGGCCCAGTCGTGCTCTGGGGATCTAGTTCACGACAGGCTGCAAAGTGCAGTGGACGAGGTATTGGAATGGGCGAATCGGTGGCTGATCAAAATTAATCATTCGAAAACGCAGGCAATCTATTGTACTAAAAAACGTAGCGGCGCCCCGTCTGAGGTTTCAGTGAATGGCGCTCGGGTACCATGGGAAAGCTCTGCTAAGTATCTCGGTATCACTCTTGACAAGGGGATAACCTGGCAGAAGCACACTGAAGCGTTAAAAACAAAATTCCAAATCTCGTTTCGGCAACTCTACCCTATGCTATGTAGAACATCAAAATTAAGTTTGATCAACAAAGTTCGACTATACAAGATGGTTATTAGACCAGCGATCACTTACGCAAGTGCGGCTTGGTGTTTTCTCGCCAAAACGCATTTGAGTAGCCTGCAGGTTTTGCAGAACACAACCTTGCGTACAATCACTAACGCCCCATGGTATGTTTCCAACGAGACCCTTCACAGAGAGAGAGAGCATAATCGCATAACAACCCTTTGTTGCGCGAGTCAGTAGACTACAGTAGAGCAAGTTCGCAAGCACACAAGGCCGCGACTCGCACTGTGAACAAAATTAAATCGTGCGACTTTAGGTCCAACCAAAATCATAATTTTTCTTCAACAACCAATCCCAAAATTAATTTTAGGATCAATTTAAAATTGCCGAATACTAACTAGCAATGCCAAGGCACCCCTCAAATTGATGCACTTCGTTTTTCTTTGCTCTCCCTCCTTCCTTCCTTCCTTTCTTCTTCCCTTCTTTTTACCTGACTTTGTTTGGTATCTGGGCAACCAGACCTGACAGACCTACTGACTTACAAGACTTCAGCCAAGAGCAAAGGTCCTACGGACCGCTCTGACAGACAATGACGAATAGTAGAATAGTAGTAGGAACTTCAAAGTTGAAAATTTTAATTATAAACCCAAATTTGATTACATAAAACTAGTACACCTACCCATTGTCTCTCGCGCTGACAAGAAAAATCTATAGACACCTCATATATGTCAAAATCCATCAAACTGTAACTGTAGCTCGTGAAATAGCAATTTCAAGGTTAATTTTCTTTATTAAGCTGAAGAACATTCAATTTTCCATCGCCAGCAACAATAACTTGGTGTTGTTAACATCCCACTCAATTTCCTAAAAAGACAAAACATCGTATTATTTATTTAAAATATTTCACCAATCTGCCCAATGCACAAAAAAGGTGATAAAAGTTCATGTGAAAACTATAGAGGCATTGCCCTGTTAGACACTGCATATAAGATACTAGCATTTCAACACAACAGGGACAGATTGAGCATATATGAAAATGAGGTTATAGGTGAATATCGGGGAGGTTTTAGAAGGGGCAGGTCCACAATAGACCAAATATTTACAATGAAACAGCTGTTCCATAATAGCTATGAACAGAATCTTGGTTTACACTCATTATTTATTGATTTCAAGCAAGCGTATGATTGCATTGACAGAGAAAAATTATATGAAGCTGTGAGACTGCTAGGAATACCAAGTAAATTGATAAGGTTAGTCAAAATGACAATGAACGGGACAATGAATAAAGTCACATTGGAAGGGAAAACATCTAGAGCTTTTGGCGTAAACATCGAGGCCTGAGACAGGGGGACCCGCTATCTATAACATTGTTTAACTTTACGCTGGAAGCTATTTTACGTGATTGTGGTATACAAACCTACGGAGTTGTTCACTATAGAAAACATCAGTTGATTGCTTACGCTGATGATATAGCAATAATAACCAGATCCAAAGCAGAACTTGAAAAGACGTTTAGAAGGTTAGAAGAAACTGCCAACGTTTTGGGCTTCATATAAATGAAGCAAAACAAAATACCTAGAAATGAGAGGAAGCGACGAAGGAAAGTTAACAATAAAAAGTAGTTGCAGAGAATACTGTTTCGAGAAGGTGAATATCTGGGATTCACAATAACAGATAAAGCAGAAGAAGATTTAGAAATTGAAAAAAGAATAGCGAAAGGGAATAAAGCAATGGGGGCTTTAAGCAAGATGATAAACTCACGGTGGATATCAAGGAAAACAAAGGAAAGGATATATAAATCGGTTATCCATCCATCAGTACTTTACGGCAGTGAAGCTTGGGTGATAAGCCAGAAAATCGTACAGAAATTGGAACGCTGGGAAAGAAAAATGTTACGTAAAATATATGGGGGCACAAAAAACAACGATGGTACGTGGAGAAAGCGAACTAATAAAGAACTGATGGAGATGTATAACCAATCCAGTATAATACAAAAAACCCGAGCTCAAAGAGTGCGCTGTCTAGGAGTAGTTTACAGAATGCCGTCTCATAGGAATGCCAAAAAAGTTTTGTTTGGAGGCAGTAGAAGAAGAGGAAGACTGAAGAAGCAGTGGCTGGAAAGTGTCAAAGAGGATATACGAAGACTAGGCATACCAGACTGGGAGGAAAAGACCAAAAACAGAAAAGCGTGGAAAGAAGTTGCCAAAAAAATAGAAACCTTGGGCCTTCAGGCCTGAAGCGCTGAATTATATATATATTTCACCAAGCTACTCAGAGATTGTTAAATCTGCCGCCTCGTTTTTCTAATATTTTTAAAATATTTACGGTACGTCAAAAAACAATAAATCATCTGAAATTCCACGTCTAACATACCGAAACTATATAGTTTTAAATTTTACTTCAATTAAGTTTATTGCAACAAGGCTTTAGTTAATACGCGACTATTCATATTAGGAAATGCAAGCGTTTTTGTTTCTTTCATGAAAAATCTTTGTTATGGGGTCCCTCATGAACAAGCTACCCACTGTTTGGAATTTTCCGTTAAAAGCGTTTTAAAGGCTTTTGTGAAGAACTGTTCTGTTTTTCAGATCATAAAGAAGTTGGACAAGGTAGGAGAGCTGATAAACATCCTCAGAGTTCCACCATACACAGATCAAAAGCTGAATCTAATTAACATGTTCACGATGAAGTTGCCACCTAT